AGTGGGTTTTATGGCCAAGCTGGGAAATGAACCCAGGTCTCCAGGGTTACAGTCCAGCACTCAAATCACTGTGCCACACTGGCTCTCTAAACAACTAGAAAATTTTAACTTAGTATCTTTAAATTACAATATCATATGCACAGTCTAAATGCATTTACATATACATAGTTTCATGTGGTTGGAGTGAAAATTTGGTAAAAGTTGGTGTTTTAAAGACTTTTACAAATAATTTTTTAAAAAAAATAATTTTCAAATTTTAATATTTTTTTAATTAATATTTTAAAAACTGGGGCCTCCCCTTTCTCCTTCCACTGAGCCTCACTCCACTCACACCATGGCTTCAGCATTTTAAAGGACACAGGCAAATGCCACTGCCCATTTCTGCCCAAATGCAGATGTTTGAGGAGCAGTGGTGTCACCCCCTTAGGGTGTCACCTGGTGCACTCCTCACCTCCCACACCCCCTAGTGACACCAATGGTCATGTCCTGTGATGTTGAAAGGGGGCATCTGGCTACATGGGTGAAGCCAGGTGTTCCATTCCTGCCTTTACGGGCTGTGGTGGGAGCCTTCAGAGAGAATGTGGCAGCAGGTAGGGGGTGCACAGTAGTGGGCAAGTATGTGAACACTCTGCTGCTCCAGGGGTGGGAACAGTCTGCAACCATGGGTGTGATACCATGGTGTTGCCCTGTGGTATCCTGCCTGTGCCCATGGGCCCTGAGTAGTGTCTCTTTCCATTTTCAAAGTATGCAGGATGATGTGTGTTTTTAAAGGCAACATGGGTCTCGATTACCATCCTTCAGTGTGAGAAAGATTACTCCCACCCTATCCATTATTTTTGTGAAATGATTCCTAGTAATAGTGTCACACAGTCAAGACAATCCTGAAATTTCCTTTGAGTGGTTTAAAAAAAAAAACAATGATATTGGATTTTGTTGTTGTTTTTGTTGTTAATGTCCCTAGGAGAATTTTCTCCACATCTTAATGCTGATGATCATGTTCCTCACCCAAGTGGAGGAAATCCAAATTAACCAATCATTCTGCATTTCATTGTCATTCTTATAAAGGACAGAAAATCCTGTCACTGGGACATGTTATCTGGATTATCTTGGCAGAGAATGGAGAGATAGAAAGGGAAAGAAGAAACAGTCCAGCACATTTCCTGTTGAAGAAAAGCATGTCTGTACCTAAGAGACTGGAGAAATTGTACAAGATCAGTTAATGTACCTAAAATATGACTCTTGTAACTATGCCAAGGTCAATGTGAGCTTAAGTGACCTGACACAAAATATTGTTTTTGTACGTTAATTTGAGCCAGCATCCCACCCCCATTTTCCCCACAATATTTCAGATATGATTATAACTCCTCCACTCCTGGAATATTTGGAACTTCCTCAAAGATGTGCACAAATATCTAAAAGCAAGATGCAGACTATGCATAGAGGACAAGATGTTCCCTAGTACCTAGAAGTCTGGGATTGGTTTTGTCTAATGGCATGCCATATTGCAAGAATGAATGTGCTTGACTTCATATGCCTCCTTCCATGGCAAGATGAAATCTTTATACAAGCTTGCAATATTCTGTGTAACTGCTGGGTAAAATGTATCTTGCTTATATTGCTGGTCAGCTATCTATTCAAAGAGAACTAACTCCCAATTTAAGCATGACACTGGTGATCATGTAAGATCAATTCACTCCTTATGGCATTTCATGTGATTTATGTGTCATTTAACCCAGAATATTAGATGCTATAGTATGGGAAGCAGTGGCTCAAGTGGTTATGACACTGACTTTGTTGATTGCAAGATCAGCAGGCTGGCACTTCAAGGCCCAGCCGCTTCATGATGGTGTGGGCTCTCATCACTAGTCCCAGCTTCTGCAAACCTAGCAGTTTGAAAGCATGCAAGTAAATAGGTACCACTTTGGTGGGAAGGTAAGCAGCATTCTGTGCAATCATGCTAGCCCCATGATCACAGAGTACTCTCTGACAATACTGGCTCTTTGGCTTAGTAACAGAGATGAACACTTCCCCCTACAGTCAGACACGACTTGACAACCATGTCAACGGGAAATACCTTTACCTTTACCTATTAGATGCTATACATTCTATGATAAACTGATGGCACCACACTAACTCATGCTATTGATCTGATGGCACGGTAGTTAAATGCTGTATTGCAGCCACAATGTTGTAAGTTCGATCCTAGAGAAGGGGTCCAAGGTACACTCAGCCTTTCATCCTTTCATAGGTTAGTAAAATGAGTACCCAGCTTGTTGGAGACAAGCTTATGAAGTGCTAGTTCACTGATAAGTAGTATAGAAATGTACTTGCTATTGCTATTGCTGTTTCCATCACCTCAATGCTATTATTATAAGCAAACAAAGCAGCCCATGCCACACAATTAAGCTTTTCCTATACATATGTGCCTTGTTATGTTTAAATCTGTACTTGAACTAATTTTGCAGAAGAACCATAGCTTGGAAGTATGGCCCTTACTTTGCAAGCAAATGGTTTCAAGTTAGATTGAAAAATATGGTTGTCTCACACCTTGGAGAGCCAGTACTGAGGTAGATGATCCAGCAGTTTGATTCAGTATAATGCTGATTTCTATGTTGCTGAAATCCTGGACAAAATTAGTTAGGAATGTATTTAAAGGGCATGCTTCTTAAAAAAATATGTTTAGGAAGTTGCCATAAATCTTTAAACACATAAATGTACCATATATACCATATATAATGCAACTGTAATGCACAATGCTGCACAGTGAGGTGCAATGATTGACTTTTTTCCTATCTGGGTGCTGATTAAAAACAGAATTGCATATTGAATCCTATTTATACATGTTAAAAAGACATAACTGTTTTGTATTTGCTGCAGCTATACTTTTGGTTGCTAAAGCTCCATTGAACTGCTTCATTAAAGTTCTGGGTGTGTTGACTTGTAAGTCATTTAATGTACAGATAAAAGCTGCAGCAGAGTACACAAATATACAATGCAACACAGGGAGGAAATAAGCAAAACTGGAAGAAGGCCATAAAGTGGTGTTTAGGTTCTCATGTTATTGCTATTAGTAAGAAATAGTACTTGCCTAAATAAATGTTCCTCCTATATGTTCGCCCAGAAAAAAAAAACACTCAATGATCTTACAAGGGCACTGTCTTTTGAAAACTCATTTTAATTTCTTCTTGATTGCAATTTT